GAAAGGAGACAGACACAAAAGGCCACGATTCCATTTTTTATGAAAAATCCAGAACAAGCAAATTTATAGCAACAGAAAGTGGGTCTGTGCTTGCCACAGGCTAGGAGGAAGAGAACGGAGGAGTGCCTATTAAATGGGTCAAGAGTTTCCTCTCGGGTTGATAAAGATATTCTGATATTAGACAGTAGGGGTGGTTGTAAAACTAAACATAATGAAAACCACTTAACTGCATACTTTTAACACCCCATACTTGCCTTCCCTGTTACCCTCCACCTGTGCCCTGGGCCGCCCACAGGAACACAGGCTCAGCCCCAGATCTGAAGCTGGCTGGGCTGTGCTGCAGAGGGAGGGAAATGCAGTTCCTCCCCATTGCTCTGAGCTGGAGCTGACACACAGTGTGGAAAGAGAAAAATCCAGTCATTCCTAAGGCTGCCTGGATGTGACCAAGGGGCTGCAGTGTACCCAGGGCCCAACGTGTGCCTCCAGGGGAATGGTCTCGAGGCAGGATGTACTTCAAAGAATTTAGAAATCCTGTCAAAATGCAGATGTTCAGGGCTCAGACTTGATGGGTCTAAGGAGGGGTCCTGGATTCAGAGATCATTAAACGTGTCCTCATGACTGATGGGCAACTCATGGGAGAACCCCTGGGTTAGACTTCAGTCCAAACAGAGGAGGACAGATCTCAGGTAGAAGAGCCAGAACTGAAGGCCGTAAGGTCACTCCGAAGTTTGGCATTATTCTGTCTCTGCAGGATGGTTAATAGCAAGGGAAGTAACAGTGTATCTGTTTTAAGTTCAATCATAATTAACAGGAAGAGGAACCAGGCAATTCTTAAGGCTTCCATCTAGTTCTACAACCTTTTGCTATTTATTCCCTACTAGGTTGCGGGGGACAGAAGTCGGGGAAGGTGGAAATCTTTTCAGAAAGCACCAGGTTTTTATGAAAGAGATCAAGTGAAGGAGAACTGAAGTTTATGCGGAGTTTTGTCTTGTTTTTTATACAAACACTGCACATTCAATAGTCCCACACCCTTTTTGGGTTAAGTAGCATTTGCTTCACAATTCCTCCAGGACACAAAGTTGCACTGAGCCCCAGAGAGGGAGACAGGGCCACACAGGCACAAGACCCAGAGCAGGGAGCGGGCGCCAGGTGACGGGCGGACAAGCTTCTCTTCCCTGACAGTGCATTTATCACAGTGCTTTATGTATGCTACAAAGAACATATTTCTTAACCACGGCACAGCATTTCCAATTGAACGATACATTTTCATTTCCATTCAGACTCACAGCCAGCCATAATTCTTAGAGAGGATAAAAATAGGCATACTGAAGCCTGACGGCAGGTGAGGGAGCCGCAGACAGCCGCCGCAGGCCTGTGCTTCTGCATTCATCCTCTGGCTTGGTGAACCTTGGAGACATTGGGCATGTATTTATCTTGGAACAGGGGTAAGAGTTCTGCTTCCAGGGCATCAGCAGGCTGGATGCAAGAACTCTGCTTGAAAAGGCCTCTGTCTGAGCTCCTGGAGAAGAGCCCTTTGGACTATTCATCACAGGTCTCGGTGAGCCTGGGCTATACATTTTCTCTCCTTTTGCCATCTTCCCTTTGGCCACTTACACGTGAGAAATGTAGGAAGATGGTATAAATTGTAACTCTCCTAGTGCCACTGACATTTCCTTCAGAAAAAGCTGTGCAATGTCGTGTAGTTACTTCACAAGTTAGTACCACCCAAATCACTTTGCTGTGTTGAGTTTTCAGCAGCCAAGGAGGTGAGTTCTTTTTGTGAACAACCCCCAATGTGCCCAGGTCCCAGTCAGGTCCCTCTGGTCCCATGAAGATCTCCCAAGTCCACAAAATGACTGTTCAACTCTATACCCTGAGGTTAGCATGCATTGTACTTGTGTATTTCCTTCAATAGCTAACACCTTCCTAGGCACACAGCATCCATAAAACCTCACCTGCTTTATCCCTAGACACAGCAGACACACACCAATTTCCTGGATTAAGCAGGTAGATAGCATTACTATTTTTTTTTTTAAGTCAGTGAGGTCACTCTAAATGGTTATTTTGATCGGCAGGTACAGAGACTAAGTGATGGTGATGAATCAAAAGATGACAGGTGGGGTAGCTTTGTCCCACAGCCTTGCCCTCTCACCACTCAACTTCCAAATACACACCATCCTGGGTGCTGTGGCTTGGTAGTGCCAAGAGGATGAAAGGGGATTAGGATCTAAAAGAAATGGTAGAGATGATTTCACTGCACCCCAGTACTAATGAAAGCACCACAAAACCATGGCATCTCTTTTCAAAATGGCAGTTTGAGGAGGAAATCCTCTCTTGGACCCTGTAGCAGAATCTGCTAGGGTGACAGATGTAAGGTGGCTATGGAAGTGTTAGTGTTCTGGGTCTAAGCTCATGCACTTAAATCACAGCATTAGGAAACACTTCCTGTTATAACAGAAATACACTCTTCGCTCCCTTCCCTACACTTTCCGCACTACCTGTAATTACAAAAGCAAAAGGTACAGTTACACTTGTAATTATCTGCTAGGAAATAAGTCTGAAACAATTAGGATGCAGTAACAGACGTCCATCAGCTTCCCTATAAGAGGCCAGCAGGTCACAGGCACCTGGACTTGGCTGGCAACTCTGAACTGCAGCCAGATGGAGCTCACAGCTGGTGAAGATGTTTTCCATATGGGTCTCAAGACCTGGAGGGAATGCATCATGTAGCTACCAAGGAAGAGGTGGCCTGGAGGAGGCCAAAAGCCACCTGGTCCCCCAGCATGCTATGACCAGGGGACTGGGCAGTAGGAACAGGGCATCGAGCTGGCAGGGCAGCCCTCTTTAACTTACCGTGGCTCCCATCCCCATACATTATGCCACTCCCTGGCTGGCAATATCCTGCTGCTGCCTTCCCCACCTGCACTACAACCTTGCATCTGGTTCTATGCTGTACTCTAACTGCTTCAAGCATGTGTCACTTCTAGACTGTGAGCTCCTCGTGGGCAGGGGCAGTGACTTATGTCTTTAATTCCCTCGCGTCAGCCGGCATGCGGCTAGATGCAGGATGAGAGGTGAACAAGAAAAACTTACAGCAGATAAGGGGACCATGATGGTGAGAAACAGTTCTCACCCTCCATAAGGCTCATGTGAGACCCCAGAAGTAAAACCCTCTCCCTGCTCTTCCACCTCTAAGCCAGATCGTCTTGTACTGAGACAGCAAAACCAGCAGGAACATTGTTGGCGCAACTGTCACTCCGATTTCACACAGCGAGGCTGTGAGCAAGCTCAGTCGGTGAATAGGAGGTGGCAGAGATGTGCACAGACCTTGCCTCAGCACTGTCTACAGTTTCCCATGTCACACCCATGGGATTCTAGCCCTTCTCTGACATTCTCCAAGGAGACACCCTAGACACCTTGGAGTGTCGTGACACTGTCTGCAAGGCACTTGTCCTACTACTGAACAACCCATTCTTCTAGAAAGTTCTTGGTGAAACAGTGGCTCTTTATATATTGAGATGGGTCCCTAAGGATCCACCTGCCTTAAGATATCTCCTTGTCACATATTTCCCTTGTTTCTTCTCCCCTGGCTTGACTTGGTCCTGATGTCCACACTTCCCATATAGCAAGCCTACCGTTAGCACCAGTTTTACATTATATACCAAGATGAGCCCCTCGCGTGTCTCTGCTCACCTCCTGGCCTCTGCGCCATCCAGCACTGGCACAGCTGTGAGGACTGTGATCCCTGTTTCCTGCACAGTGATCCTGAATGGTTTAACATGGCACACTTTAGCTCCAGTTTGTCTTGACAGACTTCTTTATATAATTTGTAAACTAACCTTTGCAGCTGCTTGGAGAGTTTTGGGAATTTCAGAATGCTCTTTTGAAGTGACCAGACACACTGGGATTTCACAAAAACAAAAGAAGAAATTGCTGGTATGAACATGTTCTACCCAGATCATTACATCCATAGGGAGGCAACTTTTTGCTTGTATCTGGATGAGTAATAAATATTTTATTAAATGCTTATGTGCCTGGCACCATGCTGAGGACTTTAGGTACATAATCTTATTCCCACAACAACCTATGAAGTAAGTATGATCACTTTACTTAATGATAAGGAAACCCAGGCTCAGAGATTGATTTACTTGCCCAAGGTCACCTGGCCAAGAAGTATGGGAGCTGACACTTAAATCCAGGCCCGAATCCAAAGCCCAAGATTCTACTGCCAGGCTCGCTTGGCTCTCACCCAGCTGCAGTTCTGCAGTGTGGACTCTTACTCACAAGCTGGAGAGAAAGCAAGCAGTTCTAGACCAAGTCCCAGGTCTAGGCCCAGCCCTAGAGGGCAGTCTCTCAGGACCCCACCCCACGCGCTCTGATAAACCATTGCTTGGAGGGCAACACTGCACTGACATGAGCAGCAGGATATCTGGTGGCAACAACGATATAGCAGGAGCAGAGGAGGGTGGTCCTAACCTAACGCAACCACCAGCCAGTTGTTGACCCATGCAGCCCACTTCCTTGTCTGGGTCTTATTTGCGAAAGGACATTTTACACCACGATGCACCCATACCTAGGTGTAACACTGAAATGCGGTCACGCCACAATATCCTTTCTCCCACAGACTGACCTCTTATATTTTCCATCCCAAATAATTACATTAAAAAAACAATATTTTGGTCACAACCCATTAAAACTGATTTCCTGACTCACTAATGGGTTGCAGTGCATAATTTTGAGAAACAGTGGACTAAAGAAACATTTTGGATAGGTGAGCTCTCTCTTGGGAGCCCAGCAGATCCAAGAGCCAGGAGCAAGAGTGGAGCCGGCTGCTCAGAGAACACAGATTAAAAATTAGTAGCTGAGCAGCTCCCTAAGGTCCTCTTTAGTTTTTAAACTGAATGAACTGAATGAAGATATGTCTGATCTGAACCATGTGCTTGGAGCAGGTGCTGAAAGGCAGTCCAATTGGTAAGACATACGTGGTTTGAACTCAGAACTGAACTACTGCACCTGTGGCCTGAGCTCCATGCCCTCAACCAAAAGGCCGAAACTGGACACTGCAGGGCAGACTGGGAAAAGGAACGCCCAGCCTTCCCTTAGGAAGGATGAGCTTGGTCCACCTCATTAACAGCAGAGTTGTTAGCTATTTGGTTCAGACGCTAAGGTCAGAAAATAAGAGGGGGCCCTAGGACACCCCCTCTTTTTTCCTACACAGGGAGAAATGTGGTTGAAAAGCAAAGAATAACGGCCTGCAGCCTGGCTAGAGTACTTGAACCTGCTGCATTTTGAAAAGCTGCCTGGGTGTTGCAGATTACTGATAGTCTTGTACCGTCCAGGTCAAATGCAAATTCCTAATTCCATCAGCAACTTCCTTCCAGGCCTAACATTTGTGAGTTGTTTATGGGTAATTGAGCACCGTATATGGAATGGTTGCTCCTCTGCAGTGGGAGAGTGCCAGGTAGAGAGAAGGCGGGGAGGCCTGTACCACATCCCTCATCCCCACTTCTGGCTCCTTCCACCTCCTGACACACAAGGAACTCTTAGGACAGAGGGTCCCAGTGGGAAGCATCACAGGCTCTGGGCTGCTCCACAGCTCGGCTTAACCCCCGTTAACTCCAGAAGATGGCTGGCCCACGTGACACTGGTACACAGTGTGATTCATTAGAGCCAGTGGGGGTCACCATCCACCCCTCCTTCAGGAGAGTGTCTAGAGGGGACCCACAGTCTTGGCGCAGCTTTAGTGAACTCTGGAGTGGTTCAGCGGCACATCCACAATGCCAATCGGAGCACAGTAGTTATTTTTTAAGTCAAAGAAATTATATTTCCACCACAGATGTGATTCTATATTGAAAGTTAAAGGGGTCCATTGATGGATGAATGAATAAGCAAAATGTGATACATGCATACAAGGGAATGATATTCAGCCTTAAAAAGGAAGGAGATTCTGACACACTACCACAGAAATGAAACTTGAGGACATCAGGCTAACAAATAAGCTTGTCACAAAAGGATAAATACTATATGATGCTACTTACATGAGGTCCCTAGACTCATCAAATCCACAAAGAGAGAAAGTAGAATAGTGGTTGCCAGGGGCTGGGGGGATGGGAATGGGGAATTATTGTTTAATGGGGACAGTTTCAGTTTTGCAAGATGAAAAGAGTTCTGGAAAAGGCTGGTGGTGATGGCTGCACAACAACGTGAATGCACTTAATACCACTAAACTGTACCCTAAAAATGGTTCATTTTATGTTGTACATATTTTACCATAAAAACAAATGGAAAACAAAGTAAAGGGGACAAGGTAGGAGTTAAGTAAAGGAGAAATCCTCTTTGCAAATCTAGCTAGCTCATCACTCAGGACAACACAAGTTTGAAACGTGAAGAGCTGCCCAAGAGGTCAATATCGTTAACTCCCATTCTTTTCAGGTCAAATTCTTATTTCTGTTGGCATCCTGCTTGGGGCCTCATTTGGG